TGTAAGGAATGGAAACTTTTACGCATAGCCATAAGCATCGCGCCTACCTCATCCAAACTTTTTCACTGCCACGCAAGCTTGTACGCAAAATACCGCGCTCCCCGCCGAGCCGAACTATCCACTGCTAAGCACTCTCTTGCTGGACACTTAACGTGAGCTCCTCATGCCGATCATCGTCGAGCGCTACTACCGAGCGTCGTATTGCTGAGCGCCCTACCGCCGAGCACCACTGTCGAACGCCGTACTGCCGAGCACCCTACCGTCGAGCACCACTGCCGAGGGCTTCTGCCGAGCACCTTTGCCAAGTGCCGCTGCCGAGCGCCCATCATCGAGGGCTGCCACGCCGAGCACCCTCGTGCCGAACACTTTCCAAGTCGAGCTCTGCCACACCAAGGTCCCGAGCCAAGCACTCCATATCGAGCATCCTACGCCCAACACTCAATGTCGAGCTATCAAGGTGCTAGCCACGCTGAGTGCCGACCAAACCGGGAAATGAAATGCCAACGCCGAACTATACGCTAGATGCCGATCACTCCGAGCCCATCACACATGGTGATGCTCTTTTCTTTTGCTTAATCTCTTCCATCTCTTTATCTTTAATTTTCTAAGTAATGCACCAAGGCACATGTGCATAACTACTCACCACCGAGCACATGAGGACACCGAGCACTCGAGGCCACCGAGCATTTAAGAGCGTCGGGCATGCAGAGACGCTAAACTCACCCAACCGCCCGACTACCATAATGCCTAGTCGGTCCCCTTCATATGACAGTGCTGGCCGGATCATAACTTATTCCCTACGAGCCACTACTAACAACCACATCACTCTCTCTCTCTCTCTCTCTCTCTCTTCTCCCTCACTCTCTCCCCGATAATATTCCAGTTTTCAACACTCGATCGATCTCCAAAAAATTGCTGATTTTTCCACTATTAATTTGTAAAATTAGATGGCGCATTACAAAGTTCTTGTTTATCCTGAATGTTCGAGCAGATTGGAGGAGTAAATTTCGATATTCCAAATCTAGGGTTCCAATTACAGCGACAATCTTCTCGATTTTTCGATGGCGCATAAGGTACTTTTCGAATCTTCGTCGATTAAAGGTTATTATCTTGAAATCCAATAGTTGCATTCCTAAAATTAGGGTTCTTATGCTATGTGGTTTCGAAAATAGGGTTCTTGGTCAAGTGTCGTGATTGTGATTTTAAAAATTAGGGAAAGTCGATTGCTTCATTTTGAAATTAGAAAAATTCGATATCTTCTGATTTCGTAAACTTTTATGCTTTTGATTTTGAAATTAGGGGTTTTTGATTTAAAAATGAGGGTTTTCTGATTATGAAATTTGGGTTTTCTGATTATGAAATTAGGGTTTTCTGATTTTGAAATTAGGGCCTTCTGATTTGGGAATTAGGGCTTTCTGATTATGAAATTAGGGTTTTCTGATTTGGAAATTAGGGCTTTCTAATTTGGGAATTAGGGCTTTCTGATTATGAAATTAGGGTTTTCTGATTTTAAAATTAGGGCTTTCTGATTTGGGAATTAGGGCTTTCTGATTTTGAAATTAGGGCTT